CTGACACTGCCCATAACAACACCAGGTGCTGGGGCCTCACCCCATGGCAGCACTAGCCCCCCGAGGTCTGCTCCCACAACACAGCCCGTGTTTGCTGCGCACCGGTGTGACGGGAGCCGTGAACTGGCGCTGTGTGTTTGCTCACTCTCTCCGTGACCCTGGCGCGGGTCGGTCCCCGCAGGTGCCGTCTGCTGAAGCCGGGCTCAGCACCCACAGATCCGCCCCGGGCTGTGCCAGCCTCGTCTTGCACCGAAGGACACTTTACCACCGTAAGTGGGGTAAGTTGTCATAATTACAGGTTAGCAGAAGAGCTTACAGGCTATTCATTCCGGTTCCTTAGCGCAACTTTCCCATCCCTCTCCTGTACTGCCATCCAGATTTTAACGCGTATCCAATTCATCAAGGGGGTTTTGCAGTGGAGCGTCTGGATCTGGCCCTCTCCTCAGCAGTTTTGGGGTCACTGCATTGTGGAATTCCTCTTGCCAGATCTCCAGGGCGTACGGGAGGGAAGCAATTTCATTTCACGTTAGTTATGTCCTAACACTTTAAAAGATTTCTGGGTGTCCAAGCTGTCAAATTAATATTTCAAATCCCACAAGCATTATAGACTTCATGTACATCACCACAATTACATGAAGAAATCCCATATTACCCAGAGGTCTTTTTTTAATGGTTGATTGCTCCTAAATTACATTGCATCAACAAAGAATTGACTAGAAGAAGCCCAGAAAGATATTATAAAGCAATTTTCGCACCTTTACAATTTAGTTTGAATTTAAAAAGACAAAAAAGTTCTCACTGATACATCCCAGGCAGCTTTAAAATCTGTGAGGGTCTGGGTTAGGGGGTTTTTGTCCTACCTTCATTAGTGATTTATCTTGCCTTCTAAGATCCACCAAGTGCAGGTTACCAATGATCGGAAGAGGAGTTGGACCAGGAGGTAATTTGAAAGTTGAATTTTTATAGCCATTTGAAAAATAGACTACGGCTAATAATACTGTTGCACAGAGCAGACAAATTAATGTAGGATCAGAGAGAAACGAAATTAAAAAAGACATTTTTTTAGTAATAATCTGGTTTTTGGGGGTTATAAGCAATAAAAATGCAGTGGCACTGTTCAGTTTCTGCCAGCTGGCTTTCTGTTTGCTCTCTGCGATTGCTACAAGCACTCGATTCTTATTAAGGTTTGTAGAGTACCTAAATAAATACTGCATACTCCACCCTCTTTAAACACCTCAGAGAATGTGGTCTAAGCAGTTTGCAAAGCCTGTCCAGAAGTAAAGAGAGTTTCAAATTACAAACCCATGCATGTGTGTGCAAGAACATATACATGGGAAAAGGTGCTTGGCATTCCTCTATAACCTCCTCCTCCCCGAGACCTCAAGGTCCTTCATTAGCAGTACTATGACCCTCCAAGCACTCTGCTGACACAAGGAAATATAAAGGTTTTTTATGAATCCTATTAGAACGTCCAGATTCAGATTGAGATAGGATTTGAGATCTCTGTGTTACTAGAGAGAAAAAATAGTATTGTTATGGGAGACTTTGGCTTTCTTGATGTCAAGTGGAGATCAAAGGTTGTTAATAATGGTAAAGCCCATGTATCCCTGGGGGCTTGTAGCCCATAAATTTCTTCATAAAGTCAGCTCTGAACTGCCCAGAAGGGATGTGATTTCAGACTTTGTGTCTGAAGCAGAGGACATGTAATAGCTAGCCATGGAAAATTAGCTTGGATCAAGTGATCGTGAGTGGATTCATGAGTGGAATGGAAAGACAAAATTAGATTTGAAGCTTCTGGGAGGACTCTTCATTTTGTAAGAGCAGCTTCTAAGAGACAGAGGGAAGATATTGGGGAAGTTAATGAAGCCAGCTGACCTGGCAGGCTCCGGAAGGGGAACAAGACAGGAGAATGGAATGATTTTAAGTCAAAGATGCTAAATACCTGGAGCTTGTATCCCTCATAAAGGTTTAAATCTTGTAGAAAATAACTGAAGTCTACCTGGTTGAATAGTGGTTTTCAGGAGGAAGTTGGAAATAAACAGCCAAAGGAATAAGATCGTTCGGGGAAGAATGAGCTCTCTTACATGATGAGGAAGCACAAGGCTAAAGGTACGTTTGTCCAAAGGTTAGACGATATAAAGGCCATTATTCAGCAAATATGGTCCCTCAGCCTCCCAAATGCAAAGAAGACAGGGAAGGAAGAGGACCTGATCCAGAGTGGGACATAGCTATGGTGAGTAGGGTCCCAGAGCAAACGGTGCTGTGTTGCACACTGGAGCTCTCTGTGTGGTGTGGAGATGTTACAGCACAACAGCCACCCAGAAGCAGAAGCAGCGAGTGTGTCACAACATTTCTGGGATTTATTTTTTTATTAGTTTCCAAGAAATGGGCTGGAGGCAACGGTTTCCCCCAGAGCATGCCCAGGATGACTCAACCCTGCCTGCTTCAGTGAGCGAAGAGGCAGAGGGGCTGTAAAGACAGGCAGGAAAGATCAGGCTGGCACAGGACACAGAACGTGGGCACTGTGATGAGAATTTGCACATGCTCTGCACTCTGGGCAAAATGCTTGTTCCTGCAGGGTTTTCTCTGATTGGAAGCACCCTGTAGTGCAAAAGCTACGTGTTGCTGGCGCTCTCCTGGTATTTCATCCTTGCCCTGGGAACCTCTGAAATCCTAAAAAGGTCTTTCAGAGACTTAAATTATCTCTGAAAAGCCAAGGGGAGTGTATTGTGGGTTTTTTTTCAAACCAGGCTCTGAGTGCAATGCATTAAAATGACAAAGGTAAGTAAAACTCTTGGGATGACAAGAAATTCCTGTCTCAATAATGTGTCTGGTACGTGTTTCGCTCCGGAGCCGCGCTGCTACGTGCTGCCCTGCCTGAGCACACAGAGCCGAGCATGGAACACCTGCCAGGCGCTGACACTGCTCCGGGTGCATTCCTGGGGCAGCCGGGCCCCTCGGGGTGCTCCTGGCCGGGTTGTCCTCCATCCCTTTTGCCCACGTGGCACTCTGCCACCCCATGTGAACCGGGTGGTGCTGGTGAGGACGTGGAGCACGGGGCATCGGCCTCCTGAAGTGCAACCACTGCACTGCCAGACAGCCAGCCTGGGGAGAGCCAGCCAGTGAAACACCAGCCCTACGCCCTTTAACTTAAATCCTCCCAGATTTCTATGCCTCTCCTGCCAGTCCCATTCTTGACCAGCAGTGCACCCAGGACTGCAGGCTCAGATAACTCCTGATGGCTTTTACAGTGATGAGTTCCTTGTAAGCAAGGGCAAGAGACACAGGGACCACTGTAAGGGGCCACATCATAAAGCCATGCAGAGCCACATCCTGACTCACACAGTGGTTGTGATTTTCTGGAATTAAAATTCAATTATTTCCTTTGAGCTGTTTGTGGTTATGAGTATTGCTCACTCTTTGTGTTGCCAAACATGTCCTGGCTGCATGTGCTGCCCAAGGATCCCTGTGCTCACCTCTCTAGTGTGGGTGTATTAAAGGTGGTGCAGTCCAACTTTATCAGTTTGACCCAAAATCAACTTCATACTGTAACACCAGATAGATCAACAGAACAAAATATTTAATGATTAAGTGGGTGATAAGGTCAGGCTTGCAGTAGTCAGACTGCAAACAGAGCAACAGCAAAACAAACGTACGCAAGCGCAGTGGCGAAGGCTTCCTTGTTGCACAGCTTGCCCAGTAGACTCCTTGAGCTGTAACCAGGAGCTGGCCCTGTGGTACAGCACGTGTACAAGTGCAATACCGGTACAAGTACAAGGTACAGTATAAATGTTAGAGTGCTGCCTTCAGTTGTGTGAACTAAAGCTAGTGAGAAGAGTCAGTGTCTTGGCCAGAGGCCACCCTACTTTGTCATCCCTTCATATTCTTTCTCCTTTCTTTCCTTCCATTTGCAGCACAGATCATCTTTAGGTGACAGCAACTTTAATTTTATGTTGTAGATTTGCCGTAACTGCCCCCTCAGTCTCTATAACTTTATTTCTCCCTTTTTTTATTTCATCCTAACCTTCCTTTCTCACTTCCAAACCAACACAAAAGCATCTCTAGTGACTCACTTCTCCCTAACCCACGTGTGGTTTCCTGCCTGTTTCACAGCACACAAAGCAGCCTCCTCTCTTGTACCTGCACCCCCATTTGGATTTCACTCATGTATCATGCTTCCCTCAATGAGTGTAGCCTTGTAGGTACAGCAACTTCTTCCTACTCCTAAGGGATGCTACATGAAATAAATCATCAATTGTAGTAATCAAACAGCTGCTCTAGGACAGCCACAGTCTCTGGGGTGTCCCCAGCTTTCCACGGAGATCCCCATACAACAAGTTAATGGTACAGGTAACCAAGTTGGTTACAAAGTCTAACCTGCTTCTCCTTCCAGACTCTATTATTAGTTCTACATCTGTTTTCACAAGGACAAGTGGAGAAGAGGGCTGAGCCTCTCCCAGCTCTCTGATGGAGTGTGGCAGTCCTGCTGCCCAGCCCCAGGCTGCATCGCCCTCCCACTGCCATGGACTTGTCACTTTAGCCACACTGATTCAGAAACTCTTCACTTGCCATGGCTGGTCATTTTCTGACAGTTTAGGGATCTATGATGGCCCAGTAAGGGATTGGACAAGTGCCAGAGCCAGGATGAAGCCAGGAGAGGTGAGGGAGTGGTAGAAATTCCTTTCTTAGCAGCAGCAGAAAGCTGCTAAATTTGCCCCATCATAAATAGGCTGTTCAGCATGAAGTGCCTGGTGTGAGTTGGAATGAACCCACTTCCCAAACCACTTAGATGTTTTCGATAACTGTCCTGTGCCTGGGTCTTGGCATCAGCCCACGTTACACCCTCATGTCTGGGACTCTGTAATAAAGATAAGGCAGGTTGTATGGCACAATGGGAGCTCAGTCTGAGGCTCAGCTGAACAACCGTCCTGAGGAGATTTCCAGATCCATTAGGTGTCTGTTGTCTCCAGCTGGGCCATCACTAATTAGCTCTGCTGTAGAGCTTGGACTTTGGGCTGAGAAATTCCCCTTGGAGGCTGTCAGGGGAGAGCCTCTGATGGGTTACATCTATAGAGGAGGCTTGAAGGCATTTCATTCTTTCAAACAGTCCTGAAAACAGCATCTCTGGTGTGCTGTTCCAGGAATGAATCACACTGCTTCTGAGAGCAGTATTCAGGGCTGTCTGAAGGGTTTGCATTAGAGACACCACAAGAACTGTTGGAGAAAATAGCATGAATGAGAAAAATAGCAGTGCCTGGTGTCTTCCTTGCCCTAAAGCTCAGGTACAGATGGCTTTTCCCCCCTGTAACTAAACTTGCTTTCAAGCTCAAAGTGTTCACTACTCTACTGCCATGTTGTTTGATCATTCACAGGGCACAGCACAAACCAGGTGAGGCATGGGGTTCAAGGTAAAGCCGACATCAGCAGTGAGATCCAGGTCTGACTTATCCACTCCTGGAGGAGGACGAAAAACAAATTTGCGGAGCAAGCCCCCAAAAAAGAGGAACAGCTCCATTTTGGCCAGTCCTTCACCAAGGCAAGCCCTTCGTCCTGAAAACAACCAGGAGAGAAGTTAATGATCAGCACTGTAACTGTTAGTGTTGATCTCTGAGACCTAAACTGGAGATACAGTCTGTAAGAGCAGACTGCTGAGGTAGGAAATTTTCCCTTACTTCTCTTTGTGTATTGAAGGTGCTACTGACTTAAGCTACACAGAAGGCTGTAGGTATATGAAATTATTCAGTGACTGTGAGTAAATCAGTGCCTCCCAGATCTCCTAGAGAACAGGTGGTTACTGACAGCAATGGTGGACAGAAAAAATTACTAGAAATCCCTCTTCTTCTGTTCTGTATCCCTGGCCTTCATACTTTCCTGAGTCTGGGGAAACTGCCATTAGCCTAGCCCCAGGTGATACACACACACAACCCCCTCTCACCTATGGAAAATGGAATAAATGCTTCTCTCCTAATGAAGTTCCCGTTGGCATCCAGGAAATGGGAAGGGTTGAACTGATCCGGGGTTTTCCAGTGTAACTCATCATTCAGAGCAGAGGTCAGCAGTGGAATAATCTCAGTACCCTGAAAGGGATCAAAGAAACACATGGAAGAGGAGATCACTCTCCTAGTTGAGCAAGACTGCTTTCTTGTTTCTAATGTGAAGAGGCAAGTAAGATTGAGCCACGACAAACAGAACTGGGGATGCTTCCCTGCCCCATTGTGGTTCTGCCTGTTATCAGTAGCTGCTGTTTTATTTTTTGGACCACAAAACATTCCTTTCTTACAGAGTCAGATCTTTCAAGAAAGATGCTGAAGTAGATGCTCCACATTTGACATAAAAGACTCAAACCAGTGCAATTTAATTATGGTTATTCAAGATTCAAACAGCTGTAACAGACCACAGTCCATTGTATGCTGCAACAGTTATCCCGGATCCAAGACAAAGGGTCACATGAAAACATGTATCATGGTGTCTTTAATTATTTGTATTTTTCTTTGTCTGCTTTAAAGAAAAGTGTAAGGAATCTGTACAGCATAAGCTGCTGTCCTCAAAGCTCACCTTAGGAATCACATAGCCTTGGAAATTCACATCTCTGGGAGTTGATCGTGATACACCCATAGGGACAATATTGGCAAACCTTTGTATTTCATGTATCACTGCTTCTGTATAAGGCATTTTTTTCCGGTCCTCCAACTTAGGCAGCTCTCCTGGTTCAATGACACGGTTCATTTCTTCCTGAATCTTTCCTTGGAGGGAGGAAAGGATTAAGAAGCTGATAACAATCTTACCTTGCAACTGAAATGACTTCCAGTTTGGCAAAGATGAAGAAAAGGGAAAACTGTGAATATTTGGGAAGAGCAGAAGTGGGTAAGCCGGGGCATGGTATGGCTCTTTCAGGTTTGTAGTTGAGCCAAGGGAACTTGAACAGAGTCACTACAGTCCATCCCATGCCTGATTCTGACTACACACCTTTGTTACCCCATAACCTTCCACAGAAACCAGATCAGAATCAGCTCCTGAGGAGACCTTTAGTGACGTAAGCCCGTAGCCTGCAGGCGAATAATCACAGGGGAGCTTTGCTGTAACTGTAGACTGCCCCTCAGCCTCTCCCACTTGGCTGGGCTGGTTTATTGCAATCCAGTTGAAAAAAATTCCTTTACAAAGTCAACGGCTGTTATCACTCTCAGAGCACTCAGAATCATTACTTTAGGCAGCACTGAATGAGTTCCACTCCCTTCCACAACCAAAGCCTTAAGCATACAACAAGGAATTGTACAAGAGACTTGTCAGCCTTACTCTGAATTTCTGGGTATTTCATCATCAGAAGGAGCCCCCAGCGCACAGTTGTAGATGTAGTTTCAGTCCCAGCAGCAAAGAGGTCCAAGGTTGAAAACATCAGGTTTCCATTGTCGAACATAGTGTGGGGTTTCTTTGACTCCTTCAAAACATTTGGGTAATGGCCATAAGTTCTACAGCAAGTGACACCTACATGTGACTGTGTTGCCACCATTTTTATCTGCATTTTAGGCCTCTGTGACTCTGAACATGCTGGAAAACTAAATATTTAGCATTTTAAAAATATGGCCTGTGCTGTGTGGAATTTGTCTGGTCCCAAGCATATGGGCAATACCCAGCTCTAGATATTAGTTGGAATTTATTTATTGCAATGCACTTTATAATTGTACCATTCTTGCAGGAAGGTTTGGGATGATCTCCTCTTTATGTGTGCTGAGTGGTAACTTATGTCACACACATGGGACATCATGACAGCCTTTTAACCAGCAGTTTCAGTGGAGCCATGGAGTAAGTCCAGCACAGCTCACTGTGAGTGTAAGGTTTGATATATCCTGCTCACTGCAGTCCTTCTGTCTCCACGCGCTCCCAGTCCCTGACAGATGGCCAGTCCTAAGAATAAGTCATAGCTAAGAGAAGAGAAAGACTCTGAGACTCAGCTTTAAAGTACCTGTTGCTGCTTTACCAGAAAGGCATCAACAAAGCCTGTTAAGTCATTTTCATTAAGCTCCTCTTTGTGTTGCTGGAAGAGCTTCTGGAGGAAAGCGTTCAATTCACTGATATTTTGTAGCACAGTCTTGGAAGCTCCAGAGAGAAATCCAAGGTATGGGTAGAAATTATATAACTGTGGAGCAAGAGAATTTTTACTGTTAATTGACATTTTGAACACAAATTGGTATCTCAAATCACACTGCTTGCCCTTTGTCCCATGCCCTGACATTTCAGGCTGTAATTCCCCCACATTCACATGTACTGTCTAAGCAGCAGTGGATTCCTGCAGAAGCAGAGTGTTCTGTTCTGTTATGCCTCTGCATGAGTCCTTGCCATGACTTTTGGGAGATTCACCAGTTTAAATCTTCTTTCAGGGCTTCCAGCCCTGGTGGGACAGAGGGTTTCAGATCTGAAAGATTGGAATGAGAGCATTGTACTTATTCCAGGGAAGGTCCTCAGGTGTGCCACACCCCTATGGCAGCAGAAGGGACTTGGAACTGGCCACCTTCACAGACAGACAACATTGCTCTGACCTGTGCTTGAGTGGTGCTTTTTGGGCTTAGCTAGTCTGGGGTTACAGACAGACACAGACCCCAGTGTGGCTCACTCCCCTCGTGGTCAAAGCAGAAGCTTTGTGTCAGGAAGGAACAGGTTTATATCAGGCTGTTAGTTTGCTAAGGTTGAATTCCAGTAGCCAAAATAAAAGAAAAAGAAGTTTGTCAAACTTGGTAGTAGGGGAAGCAGAACTAAGAGAGTTACTGAATGTGGAATACAAGGAGGCAGGTTTGAGATTGTGCTTCTCTCTTCAAAGAAGGTAAAGTTGTTCCTTTTGTGAAGATTTTGGTGTTTTTTTCTTCTACTAATAAGCTTCACTGACTAAGTACAGGGGCCTGGGAATCTATGTGTTTCAGATACAGAACCACAGATGTGTTCTGTACAGGCTGGCTGGCTGATAATGTTCTTGTTTTCAAGAAGCAAGTTGTGGGAGGCCAGGAGAACAAATATGGACAACTTGATATCCCCAAAAAATCTGAAAGGTAAACCATAAAATAGAGCTCTTACCAGCACCATAGGGGAGCCCAACAGCTTAGCATTTTGATTTATCAGCTCCAGCAATGTTAGAAACACAGGATCATCATATTCAAACCTCTCTCCAAACAATATCGAGCAGATGACATTGGATACAGCACTGTTGAGTATCACTTTCGTATCAAATGGTTTCCCTGTGTTTCAAGCAATTGAAAGAAAGGACATTGTGCTTTTTTTGGTCTGATTTCCTATAGAAATATAGTCCTGAGCTCCCAAAGAAAACTCATTCCCCACCCAGAATGCATAGCAAGGAACTCAGTTTCAGTGTTTTAAGGCCTCGGTTCAATAACCTACTGCAGCATATGCTGAACTTTAACCACGAGATACCATTTGCTCAGAGTTAAACTTTCATTAATTTTTATTGTTCTGCTAGACCTGTTTTCTGTCTCTGGAAGAAAGACTTGACACTCACCATGATAGGATTCAAAATATTTGATAAGGGAATTTACTTCCTCCAGGATTCGGATCTCCAGGGTTCTCTTTCCCATTCCAAAATCCCGCAGTGTGGACAAGGTAAATCTTCTCATAGTTTTCCATAGCTCTCCATGGCTGAATGCTATGCCTAAAATAAAGATGTAACATCCTATGTCACCTGTTGTTCATAAACATTTTAAAGCTTTCTTACACACCGGTACCTCTTTCAGATCACAAAAATGGATCTGTATGATGGCAATACCCTCTGCTGTAAGAAGGTACTGAAAAAACTACAAAACCCACCCAATCAAAAGGTCAATTACCATTTCCTTGTGTCATTTTCCTAAATATGGGTATTTCTGCCCTCTCTCCAAATTCTTCAGCATGATTTAAAAGGGCATCCTTGATGGTTTCATATCCAGCCAGTACCACGGCTTTCCTGGGTCCAAAATGCACGGTGAAGACGTTGCCATATGTCTTGGATAGCTGACAAGGTGAATAAATATGTTCATTCAAAACCAGATCTGGACTCAAACAGTAGTACCAGCCACCCTAGGTGGATTTTAGACCAAAAGGAGCCTCCTAGCCCTGCCTGAAGTCTCCAGGTGCTGCTGTAATTCAAGTAATGAGCAACAGCTATCGATTGCCAGCATCTCAGCTTGCACCCTGTTTGCACAACAAGGTGTCTGCTATCACTGCTCCTATCAGAGGAGTCAATAAAATGCCATTGCATTCCTGTGGTGTTCTGTAGTAACAGGCCAGTGCAGTGATACCACACTGGGAGGCTGTTTGGAGAATGCTGTGGCAGGCAGGCCTGTTTATTGTAATGCTGTTGACCTGAGGCAAGTGGGCGTGCACACACCTTTGAGGCTGAAGCCACAAACACTGCAAAAACAAAGCTAGACAATAACTCTTTCTTTCAGGACAGCACTTGTCTCCAATTATGGCAAGGTGCATAGCGTTGCAGTCATTGCAAAATTATTTGCTGGCCACCAGAAACTAGGAAGCCTGTTCTTGTAGATAATGTCACAGGAGCACTAGGCTTTTACAGCAAATTAAATATGGATCATCTGCTACACAGAAAGGTAGCTTTGACAAGCTAATCATTCACTTGGTATTTTAGACTTCGTTTAAACACACTTCAAGCCACCAGCTCCAAATGTCTTCTTGTTTCTGATGTGCCTGGGTTACCATTTGCTATGCATTAGATACATTCCACAAATTGAATTTCAGATTAGAAGCAGCTCCTGTTATTACACCAGACAAATTGAATTTGTTTTCATCAAATGGTGGTTTGACGGCTTGGGAGATAACATTAGCACTGGTTCTTTCATCCCTGGCAGCTCACAGAGTGAGCAGAGCCAGGGGCAGGGAATCACAGCTGCCTCCGAGCCTTCCTTTGGTCATTTCTTTGCATTAGTGCTTCTTGGCATCCACTCTGTTTTTACTCAGAAACACAAGTATTGAATGTGGAAGGCCTGAAAGCCTAAATAAAGCTGCTTAGTAGATTACAGGAAACGAGTCTGGTGCCATCACATGACATTTGTATTATAAAATCCCCCAGTACTGCCAAAAATAGTTGCTCTTTCATACTGGCATCCTCAAACATGCCTAGGATCAGAAGGGTGCTCAGGACCAGAAGCCCATCACAATCTCTGGTCTCTGCACTGTAAATCAGGGCAGATGAGCACTGCATGCCTGCTACAGGAATTCCATTCTTTTGCAGCCCAGAATGTCCTTTTCTCTACGATGAACTGGAGGATTTCAGTGTCTGCACTGCCCTCTCACTGCAGATGTTCAAGTGGCTGAAGGAGTGCACTGTGGACTGTCTTTCCTCCATCACAGTGTCCAGTAAGCACACACAGGGTGTGTGACAGGTCACTCACAGCACCTCAGCTGTCTCTACAGCAACCAGATGATATCTGAATTCACACTGACTTGTCCCCACCTCCCTATGGGAACACAGCAGACACTTTCGGAAACAAACATTGCCCCTGACTTTAAAATATTTAAGGGGTTTTTTTCTTTCTTTTAGAAATAAAAGTATCCATGGAACTGTGTAAGAAAAACCAAATTTTTTAGCTAGACATATAAAAGCCACGTATCAAGTCCTTAATAACCCTGGGCAGTGTGTGTGTGCAGGGGAATGGCTAGGGAGGCAGAGTTGTGCTTTGCATTGCAGGGATATAATTAGCTTTGGAAATGTGTGCATAGGACCCCCTTCCCTCTGCTGTGGGGATGATACCCTGCCTTCCTTCCTTCCTTCCATCCATCCATCCATCCTTCCTAGAGGTCTGGCTGCAGTAAGACATCTCTTGATGGCAAATAGTACTGATCTGTCAGCAGACTGGCCCAAATTGAGTCTTCTGCCTGCAGCCTCTGAAGGGCTTGAAACATCAACAATATGGAGTTGATTGCAAGGGATGGGGATCTACACTGAAGTGCATAAAAAGAAAGGAGTGTGTGTATTATATTTATACATATAAATACATGTTTGTGTGTGTACACCTCTGAAGGTAAAGTCATTCTGCCAGTCGGCCTATATGCCAAATATCTCATTTCTGCCCTCTGTGCAAAGCAAACACAATTGCATCTCCATTTCTCTAGTTGCATTTCTCACTTTGGGAATTGCACATTTTCCCCCTCTCTGCTCACCCAGCCCCTACCTCTGTCAGCGACTGGAACGGCTTTTTCAGGTCCACCACGTTCAAGTTTCCGATCAGAGGAAGAGGCCGTGGCCCAGGAGGCAAACTGCAAACCGACTTCTTCGAGCTGGTGAGAAAGTAAAGGAGAGCAAACAGCCCTGCTGCCAAACAGAGCAGCGAGCTGGAGCCCACGTACTGCAGGAAACTCTGCATGGCCATGGCCAAATCCAAGTGTGGGCATGAGCGTCTTGGGTCCCTTTATAGCCCTTCTGTCATTTCCTGAACACACCTTCTGGGGAAGCGGCTTTGTGCAGAGAAAAGGACTCTGTGGTCTTGTTAACATCCATTTAGACCATCCATTCAGACCATCCATTCATTATGCTGACAAATGAACCGCCCTGTTTTATTCTGAACCATGGATTATCTTAATCAGGAGTTCCTATTTCATCTATAAGACTGGGACAAGGTGTTTGTTTTCCAGTGAAAAATCTGTATTATGGGCATGTTGTTCTCTGCATTATTTCAGGGGCAGAACTCAAGAACAGGACCCAAGCTGGATTGCTGCCATGATGCCAGGTCACAGGGCTCAGCTGGACCACTGGTGATGCAATGGAGGAAGCAGGACACAGGAAAGCCCACAATAACACATGGCCCAGGGTGCAGCTGGCAAGTAACCCTCAGGAAAGACAAGACTGACCATGGAGGAGTTGGAACAGTGGTTGCATAAAGATGTGCTAATTCAGGATTGCCAATGGGAGTAGATCTATTTACAGGTGACAGCTTTGATTCTCTTTACTTTCCTGCCACCCCAGTGAAACCACCTCCTTGAGCAACACAGTGTTTTCATTGCTAGCACTGTTATTGATCTTTGTCCCAAAAATTCTCTCCCAGCAATCCCAAACCGCTCCTGAAACCACTTCAGTCATTATTTTGCAGTTTACTGTCCAGAGGACTGGGTGTCCATGTCTGGCTCTGTGTTTGGTGATGACTCTTTCTGTTTATGGGCAGATGCTTGTAATCCTCTAGGAGAAACCGTCCCCTCCAGGCAATCCTTCTGCCTAGATTGGAAAAGAGATCCTGAACCTTTGTAATCTGGGAGGAGCCAAGATCAGAGTGCAGCTGGCCAGGCAGAGGATGGAGGCTGCCTGGGCAGCTGTTGCAGAGGGGGTGCCAGGCAGGAGCAGCATTTTTTTGGCCCTCCAGGTGCACTGAGTCATGTACCATGCCAGGGCAGGGGCCTGCAAGAGCCTGCGTGCCTGGGAGACAGCTCCCCAAGAGCCACCTACACCCTCTGCATCCTGGAGGGATGACAACAAAGCTGAAGTGATCATGAACAGGAGGCCACTGTTGAAATGGTAACTCTGGGGGAAAGAGTCAATTTGATGCTCTATCACGTATTCTCAAGTGGGGATATTTTGTTCCCCAGTTGCAGATTCTGTCAGATTACTGGGCTGGGCTGCTGTTCACCCCTTTAGAAATCTTTAGCTTTAATAATACTTTTGATAGAATTCTCCAAGGCTCCCGGGAGCAGCCTCCACTGATGGAAAAATGATGATTATTTATTAATAATAATAAAAGTACATTAGCTGAAGGCAAGGGGAATCAATAAACTCTAACTAAATTGACATGAAAAAGGTGCCTGCACATCTGCCTGTTCTCCAAGGCTTGTTATCAGGAGTGGAGTTTTTCACAAGGGGGAACTTTCCTGTGCAGGGTGGGCAAAGAAAAGAGGGCAATGGATGGTCGTGTCAGTCTCAAGATTTGCTGCAAAACTATGAGGTCTTTTTCTGCACTCTCTTCTCCCAGACATTTCCAAGAATATCAGATTCTTCTCTGAGAAAATGGTGTGACCACTGGGACTCCTGACACTCTGTAATACACAGTAAGAGGGAGGAAAAAAACCCTACATGGGGCCAGTTGGGTACCAGTGGAGGAAATCTGTTGTTTCTGTTTACATACAGGTCTGTTGGAATGGAGCTGGCTGCTGCCATAGCAAGCAAAAGCACCTTCCCAAGGGCTTCCAATCTGTTTCAAGCTTCAGGTTGTACCTGGTGACAATATAGGGTGAAACCCTTTCTCAAATAGCAAGCCCATGGACTTGCAACCCGCTGGGCTGGTGTATGCACTGTGGGAAATAATGGAGGAGCTCTCCAGAGGGAGGAAATGATTGCAGTCTTAAAATACAGCCAATCTGATGCCTTCACCTCCACTTCTTCCTCATGTACCTTGGTTTCCAGTATGCAATTCCAAACACAGCCTACAACTGAGTTGCTGGCTTGCAGGTGAGGCATCCCACACAGGACTGGGGAGAAAACGTTGCTCCCTGCTCACGTGTCTTTGTCTTTCTACCAGCCCAAGCCAGAACTGATACCATCTTAAGGTAAGCAGACCTTGTGGGCACAGCTCAGTTCCTCCTAGAAAATGAGCCTGTACATTAAACAGCCACAGTAATTTCTGTGTGCTCATCTGGAGAAGGTCATATCATCTTCTAATGGGACACAGGTTAACAATGCTACAGTAACTGTAGGATAATGCAGGGAAAGAGTTGTTATAAGGCCATAATTCAGTCAGTGACTGCTGATAACATAATAAACCATGAGAGTGAACACCAAGTGCTTGTGTGCCTTGCGAGGCTCTGCCACTGATTTACAGCCTCTGGAGATGCCTATCAGCCCGTGCATTGTTATCAGGAATATATAAAGCCTGAGCACACCCTATTAAACATTAACATTTTTAAAGACCCAGATGTGTTAAAACTCGGGCTGCTCCTTGCTAATGGATTTTGCTTGCCCTGACAAATGCCACTGCAAAAAGAAATCAAAAGCTTCCCGACTTTGACCTCTTTCAATTTTTCATCATTATGGCATTGTTTTATTGGATTACACCCACTTCTTCCCACCCTGCCAATCTGTATTTCTGCAGGATCACTACAGGGTGGTGATCAGTATCTCAAGTGTTCAGTATGCTCATTTTCATACAAATAACTTGTTAGTTTCTTTTCACTTATCTGTCAAATCAGTGTGGGCTGCAAATCTACTTTGAGAAGAAAGACTCCTGGAAAAATATTTTTAAAAATCATTATTTCACTGCAATTTTTTTTTTAAAGACTCATGGGGTTTTTTTTACATATTCTGAGCTGAAAGAATTTATGTGATGGGTCTGGTCACTGGGGGAAGAAAATAAAAAAAATCTGTGCATGGGATTAGTGCATTGTCCCTGTGCAGAGCCTAAGGTGACAGTATTTTCCATTGGTGCTTTTAAAAGCCTTCTTCTTGTACTGAATGGATGCCATTCCTTCCTTAGTCTCATTCAGTGAGAAAATACATGGGAGATCCTCGGGTTTGGTGCTGGTAATGTTACTTTTCAATATGCATATCTACAAAAACATTTGCAGTAAAGTCCCTTGTGACCATAGCCAGAACCATGTTCTTCCAGATCTCACATTTACACCAAGTCACGGCAGCCTGACCTGGGAAGTCAGAAATCAAATCAAATGCCTTGTCATAACTCCAAGGATTTTTTGTTTGGGGTCTCTAGCCTCAGTCTATCTCAACAGGGAGTATTGCAGCAATTGTATTAATCCAAGAGAAATTTGAGACATATCATGAAGGGTGATTAGGAGATAGGTATCTACAGAGCCAGCATCTTACTCTTGGGCCCCTGTCTGGATGCAGGTAGAGATGTGGATTTAGATATACCAGAATCGCAACTAGCAGCGTAAGATAAAGGTTTGCTTTGCATCTCAGTGCAGCATTACTATTTCTACAACATTCCTCTCTAACCTGATGAGGCTTTGGCTCAGTAATAACAGAAAATGAGCTATCACTCTGTACATCTTTGCAGAGCACATAGCATATTAAGGCCCTGACCTCAATGGCATGAAACTACAATTTCCCTGTAAGTGCTAAACAATAATACTTCATTAATCATCCACAACAAAAATCCCCATTCCCCAGACTATTCTGGCAATATTCTGCATTTTTGCTTGTCTAGGAACCTGAATTAAAAGGGAGAAAAATGGTTTACAACAGCCTGTGGCAGTGATGTAGCAAGAGACCTTATGTAAGAGCTGGCGGCATGCTCGCCCTGCAAGGGTGAGGTGTAGGAATGAGTGATCCTGGAAGGATGTTTCTCTGAGGTGTGTTCTGTGCCTGGGCTGGGAACAGCAGTCTCAAGGGCACAAATTCCAGCATCTGAATGTGCTTGGTCTTGTTCATCTCATTAATTTCTTACAGCTATCCCAAGTGAAGCTACAAAATCCCCGAGTACTTTACTCAAAGCCTTTCATGGCTTGTCAATAAATTATTTTCAAATTAACTACCTGATAATTCGAGTCTTCAGGCTTTTAAAAGGTGCAGCGTGGTGGAAGAGAGAAAATAATGGAAGTCATCAACTTTACCCTGCCCATAAAAAAGAATAAAGGTTCTTCTCTGACGTATTATTCAGTTTGGTGCTTCTGAAAAGTAGTGGTAAGTGTGTAATAACTTCTCAAGAGACATTTGTACAACTGACAAATAAACATCAATAGTGAAATAAGTTTTCAGCACTAACTGACAACATTGTAAAAGAGCAAACAGTTTTTAAATGTTAGTTTAGTCCATATTTAATGAATCTTTAGTCCCTAATTAATGACTAACAGCTCAGATTCAAGCAAAGGATTTTTTTTTTAAATCTATCAACCTCTGTACTTCAAAAGAGGAAGATCCAAGATATTTCCTACTTTGGGAAGCCTTCTAATTTGAGCCTTCCAATTTTTGGAAAGGGCTCAGGACTCCAGACTAGAGATTCTGTGAAACACTGCATGCTTTACAAATTGTCTGATTTCTCTTGTAAAATGGGTACTTTTTTATTGAAGCAGCTATTTCAGATTTCCCTGATGCTGTCAAAGTCTCTCACTTCTTTGAAAGATAATATGGAAAAAACATTTAATTCTCTGTTTATGGCACTGCTTTGTTTTTATTGAATTTCTTTGGAATTGGTTGGCTTAATCTGCAAATGAGATTTTTTTTTCTTCACACTGATTATCTAACAGGGGTTTCACTTGATCTCCTTGGGAAAAATACATCCTTAACTGCAAAAGCACGTGTACTAGGTTGTATGAGAGCATGTACTTTTAAAGGAAACTCTAGAAGATACCACTGGCATTTGCAATAAAAACATTAAGTAACCATAACCAAACACCTGCTACTATACCTGACCTGAAGGCAGGTAACTACAAAATTTAAGGCTCCAAAGACAGACAGTTAATAAATAGGTTATAAAAATATTTGGATATAATAAAATATATCAACTTGATATAGCCTTTGCCTAGAATCATGGAATTGTTTAGGTTGGAAAAGACCTTTAAGATCATTGAGACCAACTGTTCCCCCAGCACTGCCAAGGCCACCACTAAACCATGTCTCTCATCACCACATCTACATCTTTTAAATCCCTCCAGGGACATTGGCTCCAACCACTGCCCTGGGCAGCCTGTTCCAAGGCTTGACAACCCTTTTGAGGAAGAAATTTTTCTTAATATGTACACTCCCACCCAACTGGGTGTCATCTACAAGCTCACTGAGGGTGCACCCAATCCTCTCATCCAGATTGTTGATAAAGATATTAAACAGAACTGGAATGGATTGTCACTGTCTGTCTGGGAATAATTCTACTGTGGGATTCCTGTGTATCTTTTTCCTTTGTCTTCTTCCTTCATCACATGGGGAACCAGCAAGTCCAGAAAGTAAGGAACATAATTTGGGCAGTTTGCTAAAATCAAGTGCCTTGACACTTCAGCTAAACTTGTCCAGATGAACCAAAGCTGCTTCTCTGCTGCTCAGTCCTCTGAGATCTGGGAGACAGTTTGCTGCATGTATTTATGAAAGAAGAGTATCTGGCTTTTACCACCAAGTGTTGTAATGAAGTCAAGTGGAAAAGTGCCATTTGCTGTATAATAAAAACCCTCCATTGTTCATAGCACTGAACACCTAATAATAAAACCTTAAATTTCAGGCTGTTTAAACCAGTTACTTATGTAATAGAACACGGTGTAATTTTCCATTTAGAATTTCAATACTGTAATAAGAAAGCAATCAAGGCATAAACAAAACACACTTTAAATAGAGCTGCAGGTAGTATTTCCATAATGACTGTCCTTAAAAATTGAAGCTATTTCTCTTTTTTTCCCCAGCCTCGAATTCTTTCTACTTAGCTCAGTCATTTAATTAAAAGAAAAATCAACTTAAAACAGATGAAAGACTGTCTGAAACCAATTGCAGCTATTAGCAAAGAAGAAAAAATACTACTGTAATCTACTGTTAACACTTGGGTAGGTTAAATTAAAGCCATTTCTCATCCTCCCTTCAGGAGGAGATTGTGGATCTGTAGAGCATGTGCTGTAAACCTGCAGGCAATAGGGGTGTTTTTCTTGATTATCCATCTTGAGGATCTGGAAGTTCACTGTTTCCCAAGCATCTGCCAAAAACTGCTTGGTTTTACCAGCCTCATCAGCATTCATGCCATGTGATGGGAACCCTCCTGCTCACCCATCCTTTGTAGGAGGCATAAAATAACTCAGTGCTGTCCATCAGGTTTGTGCACGGCGTTAAACCATGGGGATTAATGAGGGATAAGCAACCATGTTATTACCACCACGGACAGCTGATGGAAGAGTTCATGTCACTGCAGCAGGATGGGGATGGCTCCTCCAAAATCCTGCTGGGTTGCTGAGGGAAGTTCATACTGCCTCCCTGCAAGTGTTATCCCCAGGGCTCTGGGATGACACCAGCCAGGGCTGGGTCCTGAAAAATGTGCTTTTAAGTCAAGACTCAGCACTCTCAGAAGTGGCAGGTGAGGAACTTGTTCTTCATAGCAGAGGGGAAGGAGGAGCCTGGCCTCAGCCTGGTCCCTGGATAGAAATGGGAGAGACTCGCTAGGGCTGGATCCTGTATGAAGCCTTTTGCTGACACCAGGATCCAAGTTTGGCTCTTTCCCCCTCCGTTTCCAGCTGAACAAGTGCCAGAGACAGACCGTTTTTCCAGGCCCCTCCGCAGGCAGGAGGCCGGTGGCCATCGCTCTCACCCACCCATTCACAGACCATGGAATCACGGGATATCCTGCGCTGGAAGGGACCCACAATGATCATCAAACTGGCCAACTCCTGGCCCTGCCCAGCACAACCCCAAGAATCATTCGGAGCGTTCAGAGCGGAATGAAGACAGAACCACGGGTTTTTATGAGGAGGAATCGGTTTATTTCGCAGAATTTGATGAAGCCCTGAATGCAGGGACGCGAACCCCCCCGGCCCGACCCTCCCGCCGGGGCCCAGGCCGCGACCCTCCCGCCGGGCCCGCCGCGACCCTCCCACCGGGCCCGGCCAACATGGCGGGCGGCGGTGGGCGTCGCGTCTCCATCGGCGACCGGCGCCCGATCGCTGGCGTTGCCATGGCCACGGGGACGCGCGACCATGGCGGCGGCATCCGCCCCGGTACGTGGCCGCTCGATGCGCTCAGGCGGCGCGGCTGCCCCCGCGGCGGCTGGACGGACGCGACGGACCGCGGGCGGGACGCGAGGTGACCGCAGGGCCGTCCGTTGCCCAACATTATTGACCTCAACTACCGGCGACACTGTCCACGCGCCATGACTTCAGCGCAAAGAGGCTTCAACGCCGGCGGCCCGCCGGACAAGGCGCCTTTCCCGCTGGATCACTTTCGGTGGGGTACCGCGGCCGGGCGCCCCGCGCCGGGCCTGCCTCCCCGCCCGTGCCGGCGGCCCGGTGGGTATCCACGGCCCCGGTGGGTATCACGGCCCGCGGTGGGTTATCACGGCCCCTCGCTGTGTGTTTACAGTGGGAGTGGCAGCGCTCCTAAGGAGGGGCAGTTCATGGAAGTGTCTCCGGCACAGCGGCTACGAGAGCGCGGCCTGCCGCAGCGCGCCATGGCCTACCTGGAGTGCCATGGACAGGCGAGTGCGCCCCGACACCGGCCCTGCCCCGTCCCGGCCGTCCCAGGGACACGCTGGGGACCTGGCGGCCAGCCCGGTGGTCCCCGGGGCGGGGATCCCTTTGCGGGCACGGGAGGGGAAGGCAGCCCGCAGTCACACAGGAGGGTGTCCTTGAAGGTGCCCCGTGTGGCATCAGCATCACTTGGCTCATGTTTCCGTGTTATCCAGCCCGTGCGGTGGGATAACAGCGGCACTCGGGCAGCTTCCATCCTGCACAACCCCATTTCTCGATGTGAAGCTTATTTTTTTTCCCAGCTGGTTACAGGTTAAACTTTTAACTTGCACGTGCTTTGCTCACCTCCTGCCTGGCCTTCCTAATCAGCTCTGAGTATGTCTTTAGGACCCCCAACAGGTATTTGTATAACTTAACCATGAATTATCAGAGCCAGTGGTATTTCTTTGTGTATACTAATGCAACTGAGTCTTAATTAATGCTGAGTTCAAAATACATCCTCGTATAATTCAATTGTAATATATATTCCCATATAATATACATATATTCAAGTATATAATACATATTCCAGTATATAATACATATTCCAGTATATAATATATTTTCCTATATAATACATCCTAGTATAATTCAAGTATAGTTCAAGCAGAAGTACTTTGGCCTGTTAGCCCCTTAGAAATATGTGCCAAGCAGGCAAGTTAAATTTTTAACTTGTTCCTCAGGTAAAGTGAAAAAAGTGTTGATGTTTGGTTTTCCAGGGATGTTTCCATTCTTGCATTGCTTTGCAATGCTTCCTGAACAACGGTGAGTCAGGGAACTCTGGGAAGTAAATGAATTTCTCTGTATTTAAGGAAAATACACTTTCATGGGCTGGTGTCAAGGAGGGCTGCAAATCAAAAACTTTTTTGAAAATCACTCCAGCAAAGGATGGTGGTAATTAAAAGTGGTAATTCACTGTCATAAATGGCACAGGTAGAATTTTAGAAAGGTCTTATGCAGTCTGTTAGTTAAAGATAAACCAAGAGTCGGGTCAGTTTCTGAGGAAACTCTTACTCAGTATCCAAAATCAGGAAACAACACATTTAATTGGAAAACCACTGTTAAGGAGAGAAAAAAAGTGATCCCAGAATGTTGCTTTCCAAAAACTGAAATTTCTGAGATCTTGCCAAGCAGCAATAACTCTCTATAGATGTCTTGGGTTTCTTTAGGGTAAACAATACTAAATGAAGTAAAGAATGCTGCTGTTCTTTTGTTTATAGACTGTGTTCTCTAAAAAGCTTTTTGTTTTCTTCTTTTTAACTTAGGCAGCTTATGGCTAATGAACCACTGGAAAAATTGGGATTTAAAGACCTGATAAATGAGAAATCAGAAGAAAAACCTGAAAAGTTGTGATGAAGACAGACAACTTTGCTCCTCATGTATGGAATGCATAACTCTAAATGTAGTACATATTGTACCTTCTATTCATATTGCAGTAGGAAATGTTTTCTAAAGGAACATTTTTTCCAGAGTTTAATTTTCCTAAAATAAGAGGTTTTTTTAAATGAGCAAAAGTACTGCCTTTGTCTGCTTTGCTCAAGTATTTCTTAACTTCTTTCTTTTAATTTCTCTAGAGGGAAAACAGTTACTGCCTGAAGTGTTCTCCATGTCTCTGTAAGAACAGTGAAGTCTTATTTTAAAAGGACAAAAGCCCCAAACCAAACAACCCTTTATTGTGTAGATCTTGAACTACTGATTAATCTTGTGTGGGCAGTACTAATATGCTCATAGGAGTTGCTTGTTAGGTGGAAATAAAGCTGTTGTGGTACTTGCAAATTGCTTTTCATTAAATACTGGTATTAGTGCCCATCTTTAGGGTGATCTCCTTCTCACCCTGCTATGGAAGACACTTGAGGTGGGTGGGGTTTTTTTCAGTCTTAAAATCTTCCATCCTTGTCAGGAGAGTATTTCTAGTTCCAGACACCAGTCAAGTAGTGATTCTGCTTTTAGTTACCATGCCAGCAGTGTTCACCTAACTTCATTTCATCATTTAACTAGGAATGTTTCATTCTGAATACATTCACTTATCCAAATAGAGCTGCCATATGTTTTGGGGTTTTAATATCTTAATAGTAAAATCAATGTGGAGACAGAAATGGTGTTTATTTGTGCTCTAAGTTACCAAATATACATAATGTGATTGGACAATTTTATTCTTTTAAAATCAAATTTTTTATATTAAAAACCAGGGTAGATCAGGAGTTAGCTGTCTAAGAAATCCAGTGTTTCTTCCAAAACATGCAGCTGCAGCCCATACATTGAGAAGGCCGTGCAGCAGGTGAGAAATCAGCTCTGAGTGTGTCTTTAAGATCCCTGATATATGTTTGTATAATTTAACCATGAATTACCAAAGCCATTCTCTTGCATGTAGTAATTGCAATTGAGTCTTTCTTAGTTAATGTTGAGTTCAGGCAGAAATAGTTTGGCCCATTAGCCCCTTAGAAATGTGTTTCAAGCAGGCAATAAATTTGTAAATCCTTTGGATGTATTTTCTACTGTATTTTCTGCCCTGTCACCCCTGTTCTTTTGGTTTTGTTTTTGTTTTTAACCCAGTGACTCATTTGTCTGCCTATCTGGTTCTTGAATGTTAAGCTTTAGGGTCAGGGCCTGCAGACAGTGATACAAACAGTGATCTGTTTGTCAAGGCAATTCTCCAACACTTTCCTCTTTATTTGGTGTCCTCTCTTTGATATATCTCCCCTTCCCTGCTGTCTGCTTTTGCTTCTGCTTCTCTCCACTGTGCATCTGCTCACACTGAGCTCCAGGAAAGGGTGGAAGAACATTTTCTGCTTTTCATATTGATCATTGGAGCTGAGATTTAAATTGTTGCTCAGGTCTAATCTGATGGAACAGAGTGCACACAGCTCAGAGCGGGTTCCTGTTTGAAAAGAACATTCACCTGCTGCTGCATATTTTTATTCTACTTCATTCTACTGTTCAAATTATATCCTTTGGTGAGATTAGTACATTTATAGAAAAGAAAGCAGAGATTGTATTTCTGCACCAGATATTAAAAGACTTTATATTAAACCACTGAACAAGAGCTTTCTTTCAGTGATACCAAGTTAGAATTAAAATAATCTCCAGCATCTGCAGAAGAAAGAAATCAAATTTCATGCTTCTGTGCTCCTTGAATATTATAAGGTGAAGTGAATTCCTGGTAGGTGTGAAAGAACCCACCAGTGGTGGGGGAGTAATCTGGGCTGTTGTCAATGCTAGTTTCATTTTTTGGGTGTTATTCTGCACTGTGGTTTGGCCAAACAGTTCCTTCACGAGTTCAGTCCATGTTTTCCTGAGACATTGATACCAGCTCTGTCCTCTGCAATGTTCTAGAGTAAAAGGGGTAAAGTTTTTGAGGTGTTGAGTGGTTGCCACTCTAAAAGGGACCACGGGGGTGAGAGGTTTGCACCTTTCACCAACCCTAAGATCACATCCTCATCCTGTCCAGATCCATAGGCACCTTTCATTCTGCTTCCCAGCACTGTGAGTCAGCTGCACAGCCCTGTCCCCTCATGCCAGGGCAAGAAAAGAGCTGTGAGTGGAGAGCTGAAAACTTGGGGAATTGGCAGAAGCACATATTTCCTGTAAGGATTAGCTGGAGAAGAGAACATGTTCAGTGGAGCTGTAAGGTAAGCTCAGAGCTGGTGAGGGACATCAGACAGTGAGATCTAATGGAACTGAGATGTGGTGGGGAAAAAAAGCCATTAATCAGTGCCAAACCTGGGTCAAACAGTTTTCCCAGCTTGCTCTACAGGACAAGCCCCTGCGACACCAGAGTCATTGGGGAGAATTCCCAGAATGCTCTTCAATTAACTCCTGCCAACATACAGATCATTAGTTAAAGCCTCTCCATTTAAAACCTCTTTATTTTAGCTTTGCTTGTGGTATCCAGGTGTGTGCTCCTTTAAAATGAAAGCCAAAGGAAAGCTGTAAATTCACAGCCATCTTTCCTGTGCCCATACCAAGGAGAAACCTCTCCAGAAGCCCGTCACCAAGCTGGGAAAAAATCTGTATTCTGGAAACGCTGAGCTGAGGTGTGTGTGCTACAGGGGAGGCAGTTTGTCAGGGGCACTGCTTCCTCCGTGGAGCTGTTTGGAGTTGATGAGCTGCTCTGCTGCGGGAGTGGTCCCACGCAAATGCATTAATCTTCCTGTGAGAAGCCTGCCAGGTGCTGCCTGAGCTGCTGAAAAGCTCCACCTGCTGACGGATCCCGCGAGCTGGAGACAGGCAAATGACTGGGAAATGAGGTTGGGCTGGGATTGATGCACGGACTGCCAGCCTGGATGTGCAGATGTGGAGGGGATAGCCCGAAGCAGGAGGAAGTGTTGACTGTGTTGGAGCAAAGATCTATTTGAGCTGTTACAGCAGCAATAGAATCAATAAGTGAGGGGGCTGTAATTGTCTTTTCCGTAGCTTTCCTTCAGCAGACCCTCATTCCCACCCTAAGGAGGCACTCTGCTGCTTGGGGTCAGTCCCAGGGAGTCCCCGGAGGGCCCTGGAACAGCAGAGCTTTGCTGTTGGCACTGGGGAGAGCCTTGCCCATGCATTCCCCCTTTCTTTGCTCATATTAAAATCCACTCAACCACAAAGAGCTTAACCTTGATCACGGCAGTTATTTACAGAGGGAACATTGCTGCAAGCCAGCCCTCGTTATGTCTTCCTGGGAGACCTTGAGCTCTAGGTGTATCTCTCCAAACAACTGCAGTGACCTGCAGAACAAGGAAGAAAGGGTTTAATAAACATTTCCAAAGCTCTGGGTGTGCTCTCACAGAAAATCCTACACAAAGAGAGCCTCCTGTGCTTGCTCTGGAAGTGGGCCATGGTCCAAAGTCCTTTGTGGGAGCACAATGAGCCTGTGCCTCTGTGCTGAGGAGGGATTGTTGCTCCGTCTGCCACCTGGAATGGTGTACCTGGTGTAGCAGAAGGGTTGCATCTGTCAGCACCTGTGAAAGTGAATATTTGGGGTTGTGCACAGTTAGAGGCAGGCAGTGGGTGTAGCTGCTGACCTTCACATTTGACCCTTTTCCAGGGCCTTCTCCCCAGTTTGTCCTGCCTGCTTCAAATCCAAGGAGTTCCTTGTGCCTGGGCATTACACTTATGTCTAGTAGTCACCCACTTGGTTTCCTTTGGAGACCATGGAGTTGCTGGCCTTTGCTGATGATTAGTTGCCCTTTGGGGCAGCAATCAAAACAGCTTTCCCTTACTGCTGCTTTTGTGGTTTTGGCTTAACCAGCACTAACAGTGAGTGAGGGGTAACTAGAGTTAAAGCACCTCTTAAATTTCACCTTGTTGTCTCATTCTAAGCAGGCCTGGAAAGCACTGAGAGGCAACTCTATTTTCACTGAGCCTCTGGAATGAAACATATGTTGTATGAGGCTATGAGAGAAGGAGCAGCCTGCTCCCATACAAAAAGTCTCTTTAGCATCACTTGTTGCTGTAGGCTCTCAAAGTGCCTTGGATGTTCTGGTTCCACTGGAGAGCAGTATTTTTCTACATTTCTCATCCGTAATTCCTGGGATGGGAATGATGCTTCTGCTAGAATGCAGGAGTGTGGTCATTTCTGGTAGCATATTCAGTGACCCCAGAGGATTCAGTTGCTTTTGTGCCTGGAGGAGATCCATTCTGGAAGAGATCCTTCTGCTAAATTGGTCATGTTGTGTAAAGCATCAGGTTTCCCACAAAAATCAAAACTCTGCCTCAGATTAATTAAAAACCTATTTGTAAGTGCACATGCAAGGGTCCATTTTCCCTTCCAGAGTATTTCAATGAAAATTGGATGTCTGATTAATCTTATCCTGGTTCCCTCTTTTTTTTTTCTTCCCTTAATGATCCTGCTGCTGTGAATAACTGGCAGTGTTGCATTTTTTTCAGGATGCAGCAGATTTTCTAGCTTGCAGATTTTCTAGCTTACAAATTTCAAGACAAAATGCCTTTCTTCTGGAATGAAGGTGCCATATGGCTTGAAATGCATAATTGATCACTGCTCAAAATAGAAGCTTCATAGAAAGTCACCTAGAAGTCCAATGCATGTGTGCAGGGGACTTAATAGACCTTGATGCATTTTTTTGTTTCCTGAGACTGATGATGATACAGGGACAGGTTTTTATGACTCCTCTTAGAGGTTCTGATGCTTGTGCTCTCATTATTCCAGGAGATCTTGGGAGTTGCATTAGCAGGTGCATCAATCTTATGCTTGCTGATCCCTGCTGGGCTTGGCTGGATGAAAAACACCCCAGACAAGCCTGGCATTCACCATATAGCCCAACAAAGGCCACAGTTGTATCTGTGAGTGTAAAACAGTTCAGTTGATCAAATCTGGTGGGCTGAATCCAGCCCTTGGTGCCCCATATTTCCCACCTCCAGTGGGATGCCTCCACAAGCAGCCTGTCCCAGCTCCTACACAGGGTGAGGTAGGTTCCTACTGATGTGGGAGGGATGTTGGGGGTCCATCTGGCTGTGTGCCCTGCTTCCTGGTAATGAGCAACACCTTAGACCACCCAGTATTGTGGATGCTTTTCTGTTCTGGTCCTTATGAATTATGGCAAACTCTGATAGGAAGAGTGGTGGGAAGTTGCCTTGAAAAAAAGAGAGCAGAGCAGGAAAGAAAGCGAGGAGACTACCCAGAATGATCCAGGCTTTTCAATTCACCTTGATAGGTTTAAAAAGCAGGCAGTGGAGGTGCTTCTGCAGCCCCTTTGGGCAACTGAGTCCTTTGTCTATTTTAGTAACCTTCGAGGAGTTGACAGCTCTGATTTCTGGAGGATTTCTAGTTTTCTCACTGCTAGCAAGTCCTGCTCAGCGAGAACCTGCTCACACACCCAGTTCTGCTCCTGCTTGCAGAGCTGCTAATCAAGGATAGCACGTGGGAAGGCAGCCACATGGGAGGGGGTGCTCTGCGAGGGAGTCAGGCCCAGTTTTGTTTGCTCAATTTACATTTCTCTGTTATTAAACCATGTTCTGGGTTTCAGCAGGGTTTGTAAGCACTGAATCTCTCCTTAGTGGACAAAGTAGGAGAATGATAGCACTACAGAATCTGGGACACCAGGATAGCCCTGAGGATTTGATGTGATGCTGTGTACTGCAGCCATCTGCTGCCAATCTACCAAGGACCTTTCCCCTCCGGGTTGCACTGGCAGCCCCAGGTAGCATGGCTGGATGGATGGTCCAAAGCATTTCATCACACTGAGGAAGCCAGTTTCAGGGCAGGCAGACTCAAAGGGGAAAAGAAATCCTGCTGCCACTCAGGATTGCAGAGAAGCTGCGGATCAGATCAGTGCTGAGAAAATTGCTGGTAACTCAGGATGCCAAACTAGGCAGGAGCAAAGCCCCCCACTGATAAATGAGCCTTCACAGCCCCATGAACAAGCACCAAGCAGGAAATCCCAGGGGTGTAATGAGGCTGGCTGCTTGCAACTCTGGGATTGCCTCCCTTGGCTTTTGCTCTTTAGTGTCAAGGTGGGAGTTAGGCTGTGCTGTAAACCCCTGGATGTAGCAGGTTGTCTTTAACCCCTCGTTCTCATCACCCATTGCTGTGGCCCAGCCCATAAAGAGCACACACTCCAGGGTGTGCCTGTTGTTTGGCACACCTCTGTGCATGCTCAGAGTGGTTGCTAAGGCAGCATAAGTCTGTCCCCTTTCTCTGTGCCTTCAAATGTCTGTCTGATCTAGAAGTATAGGTGTACTGTGTCCGTGCAGCCCCATCCCAGAGCAGTATCCCTATGGGAGAGCAGAGGCAATGCCAGGGGTCAGGTGTTAACAGTCTGTGTGCACAGACATCAGTGTGAGTGGTACAGGAGAGTGGATTGTGGGCTTCAGTTTAGTTCTCCCCCTCCCCAAACTGTGCTGCAGAGTCTGGTGGGAAAGAGGAACTATCCACTGCCACCTACAATGACACAGCATGGAGGTGAACAACCTGACAGGAGATGCATCCTGAGCTCTGTGTGAGAGATGCTCAGCATGTGCAAGGGCAGCACAGAGATGTTACAGGAACCAGGTCACTGCAGGGCTCTGGTGACAGGAGGTGTGTGAGTTCTGGTCAAAGGGACAGAGATACTGAGTTCACTGGCTGGCAAAAAAGAACCAGGTAGGTGAAAAATGAGAGCGTGGCTGGAACATCTACCTCCATCCTTCCAGCGTGCATGGCAGGAGTCTTGCAGGTGTGGTGGTGCCAGCCAGAAGGACTCATTTGAACACAGAGATGTCTGGATTGATGGCTTTATTTCAGCTTATTTTAGCAAGTAACAGGCGGGGGGTGGGGTGGGGTGGTGATGTTTATCACTGAAACTGGAGCTGGCTGTACTTTAGATCACAGCTCTAATCGGTTAGACTGACTTGGACAGTAAATCACTTCAGCAGCACTAATAACACAGAGTGACAGGTGTACTAAACCCTCTATTGCAGCAATAACCTGGTCCTGCTGGTTCTTTCACTCAGGTTAGTGCTTCTGCTGTGGTTTGTTTATTAAAGCTCCTTCACAAAAGTCACCTGGGTGGCTGCTCTGACTCAGCCATTGAAATGGCTGTTCTCCTGCCATTCCCCAATCTGGCTTCGGCTCTTTTTATAGCCTGCTATAAAATTGTTTATTTTTGCACCTGTTTAGAAAGGCTTTTTGGCCACAGGGGTCTCATGATGTTGTTTTCATGGCTTCTGGAGCAGGGCTGCTCTGTTGTTGCTAGAAATAATTGCTGTTAATTAATTCTTTGCTGATTTTTCTTTGGCAAAGCATACTGAAATAAGCAGAGAAGTGAACAGCATGCTCTGTGTCTTGATGTTGTGGGAGCTTTTAGGAGGCATGCAGTGACATCCAAACAATCCCATCAGCAGCCAGAGGAAGAGTAGGACACAGTCCTCAACTTTCTGTGGACAAAGTTAATTGGGGGGAGGCTGAATTACCATCTCCAGCTGTTTGGCAGCTTCCTTCAGGCCATAATTTTTAATCTCTTTCTAGAGAAAAACCACAGCCTTGTTTCCATCTAATGCTTTATTCAAATCACAATTGAGCAATGTTACAGAAAATTATGTGGTCTCAGCTCTCTGAGCTGGACCAGCAGCTGAAGGCAGCAGCCTATGACAAGAGACTGACTGCTGGTTCCAATAACTGCACCATTTTCTTTTCTGTGCCCTTTTAAAATGGTTTGTTCTTTTTTTTCTGAGGGACTTTCAGACCAGAAGTGAAGTGCTGGGCTTCAGCCCCTCTGACCTGTGGTCATGCCTGTATCATCTCCATCATTCTCTTTGCACTGGGCTCCTGGCAGGATCAGCCACTGCTTCCCAGGAACCCAGAGCTGGCAGCAGCTGGCTGGTCCACTTCTGTCACCCCCCTGGAATGGGACATCATGGAGCCCTCTCTCTTGCTTGAATGTCTCCAAGCTGTTCCTGGAAGAATGAGCCATTTGAGCCAGGAAGAGATTAAATTATTGGAATTGAGCAAAAGCAATTTCCATGGTAAGTGCTTGCCCTGTGGTTGGCACATCAAACCTGTCCTGCCGTGCCTCTGACTCAGACTGAGTTGATGACGTCCTGCTCTGAATAATCACTTTGACTTTTCTTGGAGGAGCTCATACCCTGACATATGAGTGTCTTCACACATATGTTGGCTTTCTCCATACTGAGATTCCACAGACCTAAATCTTTTAATTAGGATAAGTGGGGAATAATGCTCAAAGCAGTGGTCTACCAGTGACATAGTTGAATTATTGATTTCACTGGCCTAATTTCATCTTCTCCGAGAGCATTAGGCCATAGAAATCAGCACAGCTCCAGACAGGTGCCTCATAGCTGCCATGGAGCCAATTCCCTCAGCTGCCCCCTCCATGTCATCTTTTACATCATATGAAATGGGTTTGGTACAACAGCAACATGACTGTTACAGAGCTGGTTTTCCTGTGTTGACATTTCCTCGTATGCTGTGGAGCAGACATACAAATATCCAGCATCTGCAAGCTATCAATTACCCCCTTACTCTCTCTCTCTCAGAGATCTCTTGGCTCCCAACAACACTGTCTGAGCAATTAAGCAGCCCCTGCAACCACATACCAACTCCCAAAGCAGCCCATTGCTGCAGTGAGCTGGCCAGAGGCAGGCGGAATGGAAGCTGAAAGGATATCCTGAGCACGTGATGGGCTGGTGATCGGAGAACTTTCCTTTTTGTTGGCAGTGTGGCTGTGAGAGATCAATGATCAGCTCTAGGGTGTTGCAGAAACCTAAAACAAAGGTGTTTAAAGAAATCAGCAGAGATTTTACTCTGAACCTCCTTCTTGTCCTCATTCTCCCCGTTTCTGCTGCCTTACAGAGGATCTCTGTGTGCTTGATGTTACCTGCACGACTATTAAATCACCGGAGCAAAGGACTCCCCATCTTTCACACTGGTAACACTGGGCTGCAACAGCGTTAACCACTATGCAAATGGAATGAAACCCTGACCTGCAAATCACTCTGCAGTGAGGTACTTTTGGAGCTGCACCACACTTTGTCTGCTCTGAGGGCTGGTGCAGGTGCAGAGCAGCTCTGCAGACACAGGACTTCACTGTTATTTCTGCACCCTCACATCACTTTCTCTTCAATTTGACCAACACATCCTAACCATGCAGATGCAATGAATGTGCTTTTCCCTGTTCCACAGAAGAACAATCCCACAGGATCCACACAGCAATTTGCTCAAAATCAGAGAAAGCTGGCATCAGTATTGGATTTTCAGTTCAAGAGTTTTTAATTCCCCTGATCTGAGCCCTCTCCTCTGTGGCATTCCTCCCTCTCAGCTGTCGCCACTCTTGATTTAACTGGATAACCCAGAAAACAAGATATATAATTTTTTAAAGAAAAACCTCTAGGATTTAAGTTTCTTCCTTTTTTTTTTTTTTCTTTTTCTTTTTTTGTTTTGAACAGGAAACCAAAACTGCAACGGAAATGAGCTGCTGTAGCCTAGGTGCAGCTGGCCAGTGCTGTAGCTTGTTCACACAAACCTCCAGCTGCAAAAGCTGCCTCCCCTGTGGTGCTGAGGAAGCCTAAAGGATCCAGCCTGGTGTATCTGCTACTCCAGAGTTTTGCTTGAATGCAGTTGCAGTGGCATGAATTATTGATATCTCTGTTCAGGTTTGCTGTTCACGCAGGAATTTGTAATGCTTCCCCACCTTACGCTGTGAACGCGCTCTCGGGGCACATAAAGGGTTGTGTTTAACACCCTTTCACTTGCATGGTTGTGACATTGATTTAGCCATTTCAGGGCTGGGGCTGCAAAATTAACTAAAAAACCAGTGTAAAGAGCTCTTTCCTGACAAAACAAGGCAGTCTCGGGGTAAAAGGAGCTAATGTGAAGGGCAAGGAGAAGGTATGGTTATGTCCGTCCATTATCAGGGTGTCACCACAAAGATGATGGAAAGGTTTCCTGAAATTTCTGAGCATTCTTTGCCCTGACCTCAGTATCTGGCATTTCCAGAGGCTGCCCTTGCTGCCACTGTGCTTACCACCTCAAGAGATCCCATTAATAACGTCCGTTTCTAAGGCAACAACCTTGTGATTTAGAAAAGACTGAGTTAGAAGTGTGTGTGTTTACAAACAAACACATCTTACACATAAATATGTAAGTATTTACATACATATGTATATAAATTTATATCAGACCTACAAGTCACTTAGCAGTGGAGAGACAGAAAGCTCCTGAATGATGGTGATGTGCTGACAGTGACAACGCATCTCCAGAGAGTTTGGCCAGAGACTTTGCAAGAAGTAGGAGCAAATTCATTCAGCATTCCCTGACAGGCCATACCCACAGGCAACTGTGGGGCAAAGCTCAGAGGAGGTGTTGACTCCTGTGGGTAGAGGCAGGAGGGAACAGTCTGACGTGGACAAGGCTCAGCAGCCTCTGGGAGCCTCTGACGGGGCAAACTTTGCCCTTTAACCCTTGTGAGACTATAAACTTGGATGCTGTCCCTGCTCTACACCAGGAATCACAATCCTTAGGAGCCAATGTCCCATCAGGAGAGCCTCACTGCCTGCCCTGGATCAACACTGGGACAATACCCAACCTCTTAACCTTGGATAAACCAGGAGTAAATTTACAGAGGTACTCTTTTATATGTGAGATTGGTTGAAGCCTTTGATTTTCCACTGAACAAAAGTTTATCTTCGATTCTGGCTCATTAAGTTCCAACTTTTCTCCCTGTTTCTCCATGTTCCCTCCGCCCATATGGGTTGTTTGCTTCCCCATGTGAAGTCTGGAGTCAGTCTGATGAGACTTAAATTCTGAGGATGCTGCTGATTGACCCTTGCTGGCCCTGCTCTCCTGCTCTGTCCGTCCTTTATGAAATGCTCCCCTTTCATCATTGACAACAGGCTCTGTTTTATTTGATTTTATTACAAGATATAAATTTCTGTCTGCAGCCCCGGCTTCCAACACACGGAGGAGAGAGAGGGATTGCCTAGCAACCAGGAGAACAAAAAATTAAGAGAATCAATAAGTCTTAATGGAAAGCTAAACAGCGACTTTCAAACCAAACCCCCTCCCTCCTCCCAACCCTGGCCCGTGGTAAGTTCGTGATGCAGCATCCTGGCTATCACATGAAGCCTTCAGCAAGTGCCTCTTCTGGAAAAACCAGAGTGCAAATGAAAACCTGACCTAACTTGGGTTTAGGGAAAGCTCTGATCCTGTAAGCATTTACACTTTAAGCTTGAGCATATCACAGGTGTGGAGGATAAGGGCTAAGATAATGTGCTGAGCTGGTTTGTCTCAGAGGATGTTTGAAGTCAGTGCTCTGCTCTAGGTAAGTATTAGTGACTCAGAGGCTGAAGAAGGTGAGGGTCTGGATGCAGTAGCACAATTTGCCCACCAAAGGCCTGTGTGTGGGATTGTGCCTTTGGTTAGCACGGGAATGAGTTTCCAGATGTTATCAGCCTATGTGTGTAAAACCAGCAAACCCAGCAGAGTCAGCAAGGAACAGTCCGATATCAGTTTAAAGCAGTCAGAAATCAGCCTGGTTACAGTTCCTTGTCTGGCAGCACAAATGCAAAGGTCATTTAGAAAAACATATTCTAGGCAAGTGGGGCAAACATAAATATACCAGGCCCTGATTCTATCCGTATTTAAGAGTGTTACGCTATTTCCTCCCACAAAGTGTCCTCTGGAACCTGCTCACATCTGGAGCAGGATCAAGATGGTGATTTGGTTGTGGAAGTCTTCCAGGATATACTGGCAGGCTCCTCCTGCAGATGCTCCTGCACACCCTGAACCTCATGGGCAGCATGAACGACATGAGCTGAGCTTGCAGGAGGGCTCTGCTTTGTTGGAGGGGGACTTGCTTTGCAGAACCAAAATTGTTTCTATAAGCAGAGATGTATGAACCACAAACAGGACATATCAGCATTGCAGGTGACCCATATCTGAGAGGAAGGTTTCAGCAGGAGTTTGGGCAGCAGCCTCAAGACACAGCTCCGAACCCCTCCTTGGCCAAAGGCTTCCCAAGTCGCCACCCATGGTCACCCCCTAGTCCTTAGCTGGTAAAACAAGGACAGGAGCCTTGCCTGTAGGTGACATGACATGCACAAGGGGCTGCAGCCCTGGGTCCCAGCAACACAGACATGATGACACAAGGAAGCTGTGGTTCTTCCCCAGGGGCGTTTTCTGTCCTGATACTCCCTTGACAGGATGGAGGGTGTGAAAAGCGTGGGAAGATGCTTGGAGGATGGTCCTGCCAAGACACAGACGTGGAAGGTGGTGGTGATGTGTGGAAGGACAGCAGTGAAGGAGGAGTGTTTTGGAGCGTGTGTGGCTACTAGTGAGATGTTCACTAGTACCCCCAAAAGACACTGATGTTGAAAACGCTCCCCAAAAGTGCTGCCTATGAACCTGCCAAGGTGCTTGAGTGGCGGGGCCATGGCCAGTGAGGGGTGGGGGTTGCTGTGAGCTGCCACCTCCCCCAGGCAAAGACCCCCGGCACCCACCTCCCCCTTCCCCGCCGGCTCCCACCCCATGAGCGAGAGATCCCCTCCCATCACCGTCACCCCGAGTTAAACCAGGGAAAGGACCACTGAGTGCTGGGGACACCCGGAGGGATGGGACACCCTGAAGCTCGGGGACCCCCCCCAAGGGGGGGACGGGGCGCGCGGGCCACAAGCAGCAGCCGCTGAGTCGCGGCGAGGCGGCGCGGGAGCCACCAGCCCGCCGGGGCCCGGCGAGATATGGCGAACGGCGGCGTGCGCGGCGCGCGGGGCGCTCCGCGTGCGGCGTGTCGGGGCAGAGCTCCCAGGGCAGCGGCAGCACACGCCGGGCAGCGGCGCGTCCGTGCGGCGCGGAGAGGCGCGTTCAAGCGTGCGGGGCCGAATGAGCCGCCGGGCGCCGCCCGCACTAGCGCCAGCGCCTCCCGAGCCCGCAACCATGAAGGCTGCGTAGCGCGCGGAGCGAGCGGAGGCCCCGCGAGCCGCGCGCGCCGCCCTGCATGGCGAAGGAGCCGGTAGTCAGGAAGGCGGGCTGGTGTGAGCTGCTCCTAGGCGGGCCGGGGAAAGCGCGGCGTGCGCCGATGCGCGCGCCGGTATAGGGTCAGAGGCAGGGCAAGGGGAGAGAGGCGGGGGCTGCGGGCGCGGCCGCACCGTGCATCCTAGTCGACGCCGCGCACAGGCCCGCAGGACACAGGCTCGCGCACAGCACGCACAGCACGGCACAGCACGCATCAGAACGGCAAGCAGCACGGCCAGCACAGCCCGCACGTGCATCCGGCGCGGATGGGCTCGTTGCCCTGTGCGGGAGCGCGGGGTTGGCGCCCCGCCGAGGGGGTGCCGCGACCCCTTCCGCCCCGCGGGGGATGCGGGGGATGCTCGCGCGGATCCGTGGCGGGGGATGCGCTGCGCTGCCCGCGGTCGCCCTGCGGGGCCGGCGCCGCGCGAGGTTCCCGGTGCCCCCGGCCCGCGCCGACGGCTCGGCTCGCGCGCTGTGAGCGCTGATGTCATCTCCGGCAGGGTCCCGCGGGCTGCACGCGCGGCCGGGGCGGTAGCCGGGCGGTGGGGGCTCTTGCGGGGTGCCCCAGGCGGCGGGGCGGCGTGTCCCTGGCGCGCTGTCTCCTCCCCTCCCCGGCCTTTTGCTACTGCCCTGTCAGCGAGCAAACAGAGCGGACAACCGGAGGCATCGCTGCGGCCACCCTGCCGACCAACCTTTGCCCAGCTGCCATCGATGGGTGCCTAAGCTGTGCAGGGAGCGGGGCTGGAATATCCGTAGCCGTCTTCGTGCGCAGACGGGAGAAAATCTGGGCTCGGAACGTCTTTCTAGCCCTTTGGATAGTGAATTGTTGGGGTCGGGGTGTGATGCTCTTGCTGAGCAGGGTCTGCACGAGGCGGTGGGACCCACCTTTGAGAACAACCTTAGAAAAATTGCAGAACAAGTATCTTTCCTTTTAAAAAAAAAATCACCATATAGAAACACCTAAATTTGTATTAGCTTGAGCAGGATGGCTCTGAAGAGGTGTACAGAAAGGATGTCCTTCTCAGCCTATGTCATTCTATAGGTTAAAGAAAACCCAACACTTCAGCTGAATCTTATTTTCCCAGATATTGATTTGCTTAGGATTTCAAGATCTGTTGGATACCCCTATCCAGCTCCTACCATTACCAGTGGGTTTATATCCCTAACCTGCATCTCAGGACACTGCAGTTCACTTTCAGACGTGTTGTCTCCCCCGGTACCCAGCTGGAAAGGACAAAGAACTTTCAGCACAGCGTGAACGGCTTTGCAGCGCCGCGCTGCTCTGCCTGCTCCCACCCATCTGCTGCCTGGTGCTGCTGCCTGACTGTACCAGCCCACCTTTGAGGTGCCTTGCTGAGCACAGCTTGGGCTCACAGAGTAGGCGTCTGCCTAAATTGTTCCTTCCTGGAGAAAACTTTACAAACCTGGGTCTTTACAAACCATTCAGGTCTGTGGGATGATTCTCCCTAGCCCTCTGCAAAATGGGAAGTTTCTCAGTGCTATCAGGGTGGAGATGAGGCTGAAGGACAGTAAAATAGCTCACATCAGGGAAAGAGGGTTGTTGGTAAAGGCTCCAAAAGGGCTGTAAAACAACAAAACCATATTTTGCTTTTAGTGATGTTTGCATACAGAGATGTCTTAGTGAATCTGAAACTCAGAGAGGAGAATTTGGGCCAGTGGCTTTTGTAACACAAGATGTGCTATATTAATACCATTCAGCCTCTTCTGAACTCTT